ATCTTTCTCCCATGCCTGTCTCCAGTGTTCAGATCACCATTTAGCCCCTACTTTGCTCCTGAGAATGTTACCTGAAAACTGTGTCATTAAAATCTTGAAAATATATCTGGCGGGACTGGCAGGTGGCAAGCTGGTTAAGGCACTGGACTCCCACATGGTCACCAGTGGTTCAAGTCCTGGACCTAGCAGCTTGCTTTCTCACTTTCCCTGTCACTCTCTGGTCAAATTAAATAATAATAATAGTAAACTTTAAAATTGAAATAAATAATTTTTTTAAAAAATAGAAACCATATCTGGGAAAGAACAGTGAAATGGTTGCTCTGAACTGGCTATATGAAAAGCCTTTGCCTGCTGCAGTCATAGGCCCCTTCCCCAGCTGGTTTCTCTGGAGAAGGGGCTTAGGGAGAAGCCAGGGCCCTTACTCCATCAGCTTTAAAAACAAGCACCCCATGGAGTAGAAAGAAAGAAAGAAAACCCATCCACCCAGCTTAACCTGAGCCTGTAACAGAGAGGGGAGTGTGTGGGGAGAACAAGAGGGAGATCCAATTAATTACCCTTAGAAGCAAAGGTAAAAGTTGAAGATTGCGAGACCCATTTACAGGAGGAAATAGACCCATCATTGAGCCTAGAGAATGGGAGGATTGTTTAGGGCCAGAAAAGCTCTCAATGTTCAGATTCCATTCCTTTTCTGGAGCTTTGGAGAGAGGAAGGCCATGGCTTGGGCTTGGAAGGTACACTTAGCAGTGGGTTCAGAGTGGGAGGGGGACTGTTGTCTTGGGTTCACCGTCTGCCCCCCACCCTGAGGGAATAGGAGCTCCAACCCTCTCTGGGACTGAGGAAGGGGTGCCTCTGTGAGAGGCCCCTCCATTACCATCACAAGGGCTGATGTCACAGACCCCACAAAGCGGCTGGGCCCCAAATGCAGGGTAACCCTAACCCCACCAGCGATTGAAACAGATAGAGGGGTAGCTCTCTTACACAATGCCCAGGCCCTCGCTTTTCTCCTCCTCCTCCTTGCACTTCCTCAAGAGCCTTTGTCTTCTGGTCCCTTGGGCCTGGGGGCTCTCTCATTCCGACAAACTGCCTATTACATTAAAATACAGAGCCTCGAAAGAGTCTGTCACTTCCTCTCCGTCCCTGTTATCTCCCACTAGCTATTCTCTACCCTCATCTGCCTGGTAAGCAGATAAGAAGCCCAGCTGTGAGAAAAGGAACCAGTTAGTGATTGCTTCACATCCTTCCCCTGGTTCAGTTTGTTTCGC